ATACACTAACCTCACATCAGCTAGTTCCCACGCTAAAAGGACTAAACACGCTAAAATGACCCAAACACTTTTTTCTTGTGATTGTCAAAAGAGAAAACAAAACAATTCACATCAAACACCAATAAATTTAACAGCGTTCTTGCAGCCGTTAAATCATCCAGACACCATCTATTAGAAAAGTAAATACAGTTTATGTGCTACAGCCAAGGAAAAAAAGGGCAAAACTGATAACTTTGTGAGTGGGGTGCATAACACTCCACAAAAAGAGGTATATTCTACAATACTCAACAAAATGACAGAAGTAACTTTGCCCTCTAATGGAAATCTTTTTTTTTTCCTTTGCGTTTAAAATTATATAGGTCTGTAAGGATACGCAACATAGTCTATCGTGATTGCGCTGAAAAATAGATATGAAATGTTTTTACATTCTATTTTTCGTTGTAAAGAGAAAACTGGGCATGTATTTTTTTTTGGACACGATGGTGCACCGCATATTTTATGGGGATTATATTCTGACACACAATGACACTATGTGTTAAGGTGGTCGTATATTTTCGGACGTCCGGACAAAACACCCAAATGGTCGGCAGAGAAACAGTAAGACCGCTCAACCCCACTCCCCGTGAGCAGTTGCCACAGCATTCATAATTGGCCTTGCTGCAAATTAAATAAGGGTAGTACCCTAACTGTCTAAACAGAGTGATTCTTTAATGGAAGAGTACCCCGCCTCGTCCGCTATTTAATGAATCTCTGGAGTGCCGAAGGGAAGTGTGGAAATTAAGCGCAGCATCGCCATTACCGCTGCGCGCACTCGCGGTAATGTGCGCGTTCGCTCCGCGTCCTCGCGCTGCTCCGTCCCCGCTCCTGGGTGCGAGAGATTCGCGGAGACGAGAAACTGGATGTTTCCAGCCACTGGCGAAATTTTTGGTGCATCTTGAATGACCTTTTTTTATTTTATTTTATTTAGAAAAGCAGTTTAATATATATGTCATACTCGCCCTCGTCTTTTGTACACAAATTGCAAGACTTCATGTCCGTAAAAGAAGGTCAGAGATTAATCACGGTGTCATGGTTATTAATTTAATGAGTATTCGTATGGTTTTTCATGCCTCTCCATAGATTGCTCTTTTGGCTGATCACGCCCGGTAGCGTTTGTTTTAAAATAAAGAAGCGTTTTAATTCTTACTCCTAAATTTTATTATTTTTTTTAATGGCAGGTGGTAGGCAGGACAAAACAGGGGAAACAGCAAGGGAGAGTTAAGTGCTAATGAACAATTTGTCCAAATGAGGAAGGAGTGCCATAAGGCCGGCCATGACCCCACATCCGGCTAAAATATGGCCAGAATTAGCCCATACTGGTACTTGGACCCTTAACCAGGCAATTGGCCCACCTGTTACTTAGGTTCACCACTGTTAACCTGACAGAGCAGATGGAGATGAAGTGGGTCTATTGGCAAATGAGCATCGTTCTTGTCTCACCTGTCTGCTTTCAGATAGTCTGTCGGCCCCCCTCAATGTGACGATCCGGGCGCTCAAGGTGAACTCGGCCGTGGTGACGTGGGACATACTCGATGGCGACCCCGTCATCGGCTTCGCCATCACCCAGCAGGTAAGATGGGATCAGGCGGAGTGCAGCCCTGACCAGATGCTGGTCCACCTCCACCTGACAGCCACCTCACATCTGAAGGTTACTGTACGATATAAACTCTGAGGTTACGCCACATACCTGCAGAAATAGCTGGGGTTGCCAAATGTTATCATAGACTCTGGGGTTGTGCTACCTATCCACAAAAAGACTGAGGTTGCCAAATGTTATCACAAACTCTGGGGTTAAGCTATTTATCCACAAAAAAAGAGTGAGGTTGCCAAATGTTATCACAACCTCTGGGGATAAGCGACACAACTACCAAAAAGTCGGGGTTGCCAAAAGTCATCACAATCTCTGGAATAATGCTACGTAATCACCAAAAAATATGGGGCTGGCAAATGTTACAGCGAAATGTGGGGTTACATAAGCACAAACACTGCAGTTACCAGATGTTGTCAGAAACTGTAGGGTTTCTCCACAGAACCACAAAAACTGGGGCTGCCAAACATTACCAGAAACTGTAGGATTACTGCACAAAAGCAAGGGCCGTCATGCATGATGCAAACTCTGTAAGTTCTTTTGCCTCCTCTGTCTTTATCAAGCTAATTTATATATGTTGATGCAAAATGCTGGTCTCCAGATTGTTTGGTGTGTGTGACCGGTGACAGAGTGACATCCTGCCCAGGGTGTCCCCTCCCTCATGCTCTTTGGTGCCTGGGATAGGCTCTGGGCCTCGCTCTGACCCCCACCATGATAAAAAGATACATGGGGATATTAACCTTCAATTTCTCATGATATCGTCTTTGTTGAGAGACAGCACGGCTAAGCAGTCGTGTTTATTTCCAGGCTAATCTGGGGCTGTATCACACACTGGAGCTTCCTGTCGCGTGTGCATGACGTGCGCAACACGCACACGCACACGGAGTTAGCGAGCGGTGTAATGTCGAGTTAGACACGCAGCACTCGGACAGATAAGCACTCGTCATAATGCCATAATTAAGCTAATCTCTTCTCCTGTGCCGTGGGACCAGGTTCCCTTGTTGTTTTTCTGCTCCTGTGCACAAGTAAGTAAATATTTACTAACCGAGTTTGTTCTTGGCGGTATGAGGACACCGTATCGGATGGGATTTCAGAGTCGGCCCTCCGTGAAGCGTTCCCGACTCCCGCCGTGTTCACGCTAGTGACCCGAACCCGCCCAGCGCCTACGAGTTAAGCCATACAGGCACGCCCTGCCACCGGAGGCGATTACCCAGATGTCCCGGTGCACGCAGAACCTGAGCCGGAGATGAGATAATGTCCAGCACGGTTTCGCCCTTGTGAGGTCGTCCGGCATGGTCCAAATCCATCAGGTGTGCATGCTGCTTTGTCCCTGACTGCTCCAGCCCGGTGGGCTGCTGGGGATTTGGGGGGGGGGAGGTATCCAAGGCTCAGCAAACCCACAGGAAACGTGGATGTAATTACCATCTGGCAGAACAGAGAGCCATTACTCACTGTCCCAGAATTTTATACCTACAGTCCCTTCAGCTAGGAGGCGATTCGTATGTGTGTGTGAAACAATGAGCATGTGAACAGCTGTGAGTAGGCGTGTGCGTCGGTCCGTCTGTCTGTCTGTGCGCCTGTGTGTGGGCGTGTTTGATGGAATAACGCGCTGCTTGTGTATCCATTTGCGCTGAAAAGCGTCTCTGCATTTACATGCGTGTTGCTGCGTGAGTTAGTATACATGCGGCAGCGGGTGTGCCCGCGTGGGCCTCATGATCTCCCCCTCCCCGTCTCTCTGGAAACAGAAGAAGGACGTGCGCATGCTGCGATTCATCCAGGAAGTGAACACCACCACGCGCTCCTGTGCATTGTGGGATTTGGAGGAGGACACGGAGTACATCGTGCATGTTCAGTCCATCAGCATGCGCGGCACCAGCCCTCCCAGCGATCCTGTGCTCTTCCGTACTCCCAGGGAGGCCGAGAAGCTAGCTTCGAAGAGCCCAGGTAAGGTCTTCTCTGTAGATCTTAGAGTGCCACCCAGGGGTGGCCAATATTATGCAGAAAGGGTCACTCTGCATGCCGGTTTTCGCTGCAACTCTCTAATTTAGATTACTAATTAGAGGACTGATTGGATGAAGAGCCCTCATACCTGGGTTTGAAAAGCTCTTATAGCTCCACAGTCCTGACATCCAGCAGACCCTCAGCTCTACAGTCCTGACATCCACAGACCCTATAGCTCTACAGTCCTGACATCCACAGACCCTCAGCTCTACAGTCCTGACATCCACAGACCCTATAGCTCCACAGTCCTGACATCCACAGACCCTATAGCTCTACAGTCCTGATATCCAATGACCCTATAGCTCCACAGTCCTGACATCCAGCAGACTCTCAGCTCCACAGTCCTGATATCCACAGACCCTATAGCTCTACAGTCCTGATATCCACAGACCCTATAGCTCTACAGTCCTGATATCCACAGACCCTATAGCTCTACAGTCCTGACATCCACAGACCCTATAGCTCTACAGTCCTGACATCCACAGACCCTATAGCTCTACAGTCCTGACATCCAGCAGACCCTCAGCTCTATAGTCCTGAAATGCAATAGACCCTGCAACCATAACAACCCCTATATTTCTGTTTTAATTGCTTAATTGCTGGATAATACAAGATGTTCATGTCCAAACTTACCTCTAGACATCCTATGATGAACTATAGACCATCCTACAGTCCAACATGGCCCCACAATCCCTGCACTCGCTACAATCCGCATATTGTGCGTTAGGAGGGCTAATCAGTGGTTTGATAAGTAAACAGGTTATTTTGCCTGTTTTATGTGTAACTCATGTTCAGCTTTGCATCCTGGACAACAGGAGAACAGGACTCTGCGTTTTATAGAGAGTGTTTCAGATCTGGGTTGTGATCCTTTAATGTAGCCATTCTGTATTATCCTACTCATTACATTATATTAAAAAGAGTGTAAGAAACTCTGCTGTTTAATGGACTTGGTGCAGTATGCCATTCTTTCCCCTCTTCTTCTCTTCCATGCTTCCGTGTTCCAACAAACTGCACCCAAAGGTAAGTTATGGATTTCTGGATTTTATAAATCGGCGTGCCTCTATCTGATCAGCCTGGGTTTCTCCACCGTCGGGTTTGGAGACACGAGTCGGGTGGGGTTACACGCCTGTGACAAATGGGTGCTGTGTTTGCAGCCCCGAATGGGGTCTCACCGGGTCATTTTATAACCTGATTAGCAGTGGCGTTTAAAATATGTCACTTGACTTTTCGCCATTGTCCTCTCCCGCTGTCTGTTTATGAGTTCATTGTTTTGCGCCTGGAGCTGCTGATTAGGGTCTGTATGCAGTAATGGGCTTTTTAACCTGCCTCAAGGAAAAATCTTTATAGACGACGCTGAAAGCTGCAAGCATGAGGAAAGATTGTAAATTAGTTGTGTGGCTGGATGGACTGGGATAGTGTTTCCGAACCCGATGCTCAGGGACCCCCAGACAGTCGACGGTTTCGTGGGAGCTGGGAGGGAGTAAAACTGTGCACTGTTTAGGACTGGCTTGGGAAACACTGGGTTAGGGCTCTGTGCCTGTCCGGAAGGCTGTGGGTTCAAGTCCCGGGACAGGTAGAGTAATTGTATCACCATTGGGCTCTTGAATTGACCCTTTAACCCCAGCTGCTCCTGTGGTGCCAGCTGACCCCGTGTTATGACCTCAAACATAGCTCTCAGTGGTACATACATGTCTCTCATGGAGAGCATAATTGGATGCGTGAAAAAGACCCCGTTTTCCCAAAGAAATGAAAACCCTCTATTCTCAAATGTGTACATCAGCGATTATGCAAAGTGTCACTGAAATATTCAGCTGTCAGTATTTGTCTATGGATGTTATGCTGTGCAGACGCATTGACTGGTTATTCTATCTGTCCCCCCTAGTTTTTTACATTTATTAACAATGAAATATTAATAAGTATTATAATATTAAGGGCAGAGAGACAGAGAGCAGTGAGATCCCACATCTCCCGATTTCGGACAGAAGCTGAGGCCCTCTCTGTGTCACCCCCCCCCCCCCCCCTCCCCCGACGCCCCTGAGGGGTCATTTTCGGCTTTAAGGTTACAGGTCCCGCCAAATAAGGTCAAACAAGCTGAGCGAGAAACGCATAAAAAAAGAAAAGAAAATGGGCTCACGTCGAGCGGAAAATGAAACTTTAAACACTGCCCAGCCGTGTTTTGTTGAATATTTTATGCGTCAGTCTGGGGTGTCAGCATGAGATGAATCAGCCAAGCCTCAGTTTCTCTTTCCTGTCCTCACTGTGTTAAAAATACGAGACGTTACTTGATTGGTTTGTTTATTTATGGGGGTGCAGAAGCAGGTGCGCCCCCTGAGATAGATTCAAGCAAGGATGTCCCACCTCAGCACGGCTAAATTTGCAGCTTGTAATACTAAAAAGGGGGGGGGGGGGTTATTAGCCAGTAAAACCTGGAAATTGTTACCTAGCTGTCAAACTGGGGTGTAGCCTTTGCAGAGATCAATACGCAATCACGATCCAGTGGATGCTGCATCATTAGTGCGTTCATTGGGAGCACGTTCGTGGAAATTGTCCTTGCCCTCGTTCCGGGTTGACCTGTTCGCTGTAGTTCCGCAGCTCTTGACTGCGTTGAAAGTGAAGGACTTTTACGGAGGGGTTATAAGGTACAGAGAGGAGTCTGATTCCAGGAAAATGGAAACTTACAAACCAGTTGACATCAACAGGCCATGTCATGGCATCTTCTTCCAGGACCTGAAGACCGCCTGGACCTCTTAAAAGGGTCCCAGTTTACAGAAGAAAGACTTTTGGGCTGTTGAAGTTTTGGTTGTGAAGGGCTGGCGTTTCGACTCCTGTATATACTCAGCTCAAATAATTAATAGAATTAATATAGCTTAATGACACAGCTTAGTTATGTTGAAAGAACCAACGTCTCTCTCCATCTTGGGTCTATTGACCTTCGTTTTTCACAAATCTGCCACAGCGACTTTAACGCACTTCACAAATCCTCTAGAGCCTGAAAGTACTGCTGAAGGGTCACTTGAGATACATAAAGCGTAACCATTTTCTTATGCTTTGCGTTTATCGTTGTGGATTGGAGTTCTGTGACTCAATGATTGTATGCCAGATTGCTTGTTGACATTGAGGGTCATTCAGAAAAGTTCATAAACTGTCCCAAGCGAATCGTTTCACTCATGACAACAGTGAAACTACAACCGCAGTTATGTGTTTTCTATATATTACTGAAGATTTAATGGAATTACAATTTCAGTTGTGGCATGACATACTGAGGTCCTGGATCTTTTAAACTGTATCTCACATGCTTCAAAGAAACAACTTTGCTCTATACCACGGTGTTGGATTGTCCTACAACCACCACTCACTTCTTTAGGTTCAACTTTTCAACAAGGACCTTGATCTCAAGCTTGGGAGCATTTTATGTTAAGGGGGTCAATGCTCCAGTCCTGGGGGGCCGGAGCCCTGCACATTTTTGGGTTTTCCTTCATTTAACACACCTGATTCACTTCCTTGTGCTAATTACCACACAGCTCTTGAACTGAATGATTTGTAGTGGAACAGGGAAAGAAATAAGCTACACAGGGCTCCAGCCCCCCAGGACTGGAGTTTGACACCCCTGCAATACGCCATTATGAAGCAGACTGTATTTGCTTAATTTTTATTTCATTGGGCACTTAACACTACTCTGAGTGCTAAAGGCAGAATGTGATTAATCAATTCGTCCAACCATCCATTTTCTGTAAACACTTGCCCAGTTCAAGGTCACAGTTCATCCAGAGCCTATGGGATTAAGGTACAGAACAACAGGATGGGGTGCCAACCCATGACAGGGCACCATCCCATGACAGGGCACCAACCCATCACAGGGCACCAACCCATGACAGGGCGCCAACCCATGACAGGGCGCCAACCCATGACAGGGCGCCAACCCATGACAGGACGCCAACCCATGACAGGACGCCAACCCATCACAGGACGCCAACCTATGACAGGACGCCAACCCATGACAGGGCGCCAACCCATGACAGGGCACCAACCCATCACAGGGTACCAACCCATCACAGGGCACCAACCCATGACAGGACACACTCTTCCACCTTTCACTCACAGCTGCAGGCAATTAGGTAACTTCAGCTAATCTCAGCATGTTTTTGGACTGTGGGGGGAACCTCTACGAAGAACATGCGAACTACATACACACGGAACCCTGACGGAGACTCAAACCCGGGTGCTAACCCCTGCACCTACGTGTCACCACTAGCCAACACCTATTTGTGGATTTTAATTTAAAAGGTTTTTGGATCTGCTGCATCTACATCAGAAAACCGATTCATGTGATTTTTTTGTTTGCACGCAGGATGTATCACAGACCAGTTTGTATGGATGTGGCTCGCTAGAGCATTTAGTGGAGTTCATTATCTAAAAGACTGAGAGGATGGTCAAAACAAGCCGACTGGATTCTTCTCGAGATGAAGGCAGACCTGTGGCAGGGGTGATAGATACAGACTAAAGCCAGACAGGAGTGTCTATTAATCACTAGAGGCCTGATTGTAACCTTAGGGTTATACACAGGGCTGTTTGAATATGCCTGAAGATGCACTCAGACTGGCCTACCGCAGTGTATTACCCCCCCCCCCCCCCAGTATTTACCCTTTTCTCAAAGGTATGTAGTGTCCTCTATTGTGGGTGACAGATGAAAATGTGAATTTAGCTCAACAGGGTTGTTCTGAATTGCAGCACAGTGCTAGAAGGAAAGAAATACCTTTTTTTATAACCTCTTAATTAACACCTCAGAAGTTCTCTTTTAAAGTCAAGGCAATTTCCTCGTGTGTAGATTAAAAACTTAAGGCCCACATGGAGTCTGTGCTGTGTTGATTCGGTCCCGAGATCCATGACAAAGATAGCAATGAAAGGAGGGAGATTGACTTCTTGTTCTTTGCCAGTGCACATGG